AAAGATGTAGCTGGGAGAAGGGGAATGTGGTCAACCAGTAACGTTTCATAACTGAACTCGGTCCCTTTCTTGGAACTAGTATTAGGCAAGACAGGGTATAGTGAAGGTCTTGACAATCCCCTGCCAAGATCTTTAGTACTTACCAAAGGGTTGCCGGGAACGGTAGAGGTACTCAAGGATATGTTATATCCTATGAAGATGCTGGAGTATGGTAAGTTAAGTCAAGTGGACTAACGAGCCAATACTCAGTACTAATCCAGGTCTGCGGTTTCGTACCTGGCTCCTACCGTTGCCAAGTTTCTAGGTTAACGGTGTCGTTGTTGACCGTTGAGTCAGCTGTTGTAGATGATGGTTTTCTTATACATAAAACTTGGAAGTGTTATATTTCTTCGATTTTAGCTCTTCTGACTAGTACTTTTTAATCACTGAAACGTTTTCGATTAAATCTTTGGCGTAAATCGTGAACAGTCGGGAGTAGTGATTTAAAAAAAAAATCTAGTTTCGCTTTGTAGGGTAGAAACTCAAATTCCAATTCGTTTTAGCAACGTTCGATATTGTCTTTGTTTTCTTAGACGAAGGAACTGTAAAACTTTTGAAATATATTTAATTTATATTTTATGGAGTAGCATGTTATATCATAACAAATGGAGTCGTGTTCTATTCTAAGCTCCAGTTGAAATATTAATCTATACGTAAACACATTTAATACTAAACATACAGAAATTTCAGCAAAACCAGTTTAACCAGTGATGATTAAATAACTTTTTTTTCAAATAAAACTTACAATATATTGTTTGTTTAAGAATAATTTAAAAAAATGGTAGATTTATGCTATGAATTACAAAATAATGAATTAAAGAATTTCTTTTTTATAAATAAATAACTTGATAAGAAATATGGTAATACCAATCACGCTTGCAGTAATTATTTAAAGTTTACTGGACAAATATTTTTGTTTAATTATTTAAGATTTTTAGTGATCTATCTCGCACTTTTCTATACCTAAACCATTCCATTTGATGAAAAAAAAGTCATCGTGTCATTTGTAAAATACAAAAATATTAAAATCATGAATTCTTTTGTAAAAAAAGGAAATCATATATTTGTTCATAGGAATAAACATATTTGAAGGGATAAGTAAATGGAAATTAACTATCTTATCATTCTAATGCTCCAATAATTGTTGTTAATTTTTTAATAAATACAACTTGATATTGAAAGCTTACCCGGAAGAAGGGTATGCTCTATCGATTAAAATGTCCTTGTACAAATTACTAAGGACAACTACTAAAACAAAACGATTGGGCAGGTTTCCTCGTTGGGGATAGAAACATTGCCATTTTGCCTCTTCTTAAATGGGCTAATGTGGAGAGTGACCGTTCCTAACAGGCGCTCTACCATTTGAGGCATCGGAGCTATTTGTAATCACACATTACTTAGGACTGCCATTAAGTTTCATCTCTAAACTAGCAGTGACTTGTCTTCCCAATGAGTGGTGGCAAAATTGAGAGGTCTCCAAAGTACCAAACATTTGTCCTCATAGTTGATGAGGCCTTCTAACAAGAATTGGACGTGCCTAAGTGGTCCTAGCGGCTCCCAATTAGGGATCATATGTAACATATAAATCCCATCTGTCACCTGACAGACCTGGAAGTGTTTCAACTGTCTTCATCCTACACTCGTACGCTTCCAACCTATCCTTCCCCGTCCCACTGAATAATCCGAATTAGTCATGCTGTTGAGGAACTGAACGGTAACTTCCATCAGTTAAAAATTAAAAATTAAAAATAAATATTTCAAGCCCATCTTAGGAACACATTGGCGTTTGTTAATCTTTAAGACATTATCTCAATATTTTCTGCTCAATTAACCAATTACTTTAACAGCGAAAATTTTGTCAAAGCCATTAATCAATTATTTAAAAAATCACGATCATAAAAAATACCACGAAACACTAATAAATTTAACCGTTTTGAATTATTCGTAAACGAGATCAAATAATGTTGGAGTAAATATATTAAAGATCCAAGGAATTAAATAAATGATTAAGACAGCATTATTAGATTACCCACTTAATCATAAATATATTTTATGTTATTCTTACATGATTTCTAGTCCCGATAGGGAGAACCATTATTAAACCCACACGTATGACAAATGTATCAGCCTACTGCCAGGAGATATAAATAGCAAATTATTTCCATCTAAGGATTTTTCCACGCTCCTTATTTGAAAATATCTCCGACTCATTTCCCACACATGCTATAGATGGAAAACGTTAGCATAAGTAGGTTCCAGACTATTTCAGAAGCAACAGGTAGGATTCCAAAGAGGTTATTCAGAAAGGAACTGAACTTCAAATGTCCTTAATCCATTTCGGTAAGGTGACGTACATTTCCCACACCCATTGTGTGTGTCTGGCACAACACTTAAAGAGGAGCTCTTATTCCTAGGTCACGCAAACATGAACGTTGAGTACTAAGGATTAGGTGTCAAATGATGTCACTCCATAAAATACGTAATTCCAATATTTTCAAAGTTAACTTTTAATTTCTCAAGAAAGTAGTAATTTAATAAACGAATACTTGACGGTTATAATGCTAAAGACTTTTTTTCGGAAGAATCGTCAGCTCTTCAGAACATTAGACAGGTGAGTTCCATTGAGGAATAAATCTACAATCAATCATAAAGAATTATAAAGAATAAAGAATTATTGGTGGAAAATAGATTCAATGATGGATCCTTTTTAGACTATGGTGATGTTTTCCAAAATTTTAATTCCACTGGATCATAGTCTTAAATGGCCCAACAGCGGACTATTGTTCTTCGTAAAGATGATGTGATAAATGTTTTAAAGACATTTCACAAAAATCAATGGAAGCAGCATTTGAAATTTCACTTTTATTTTTGGAACTGCCACAAAGTGGCCTATTCATAAATTGTATAATTCATATTATTAATATGTTTTGAATTAGTACTAAGCAAAGTACATCTTTATTACTTAACATTTAGGGAAGTATGGAGAGATTGAGGATAGAGCATAGGCATTGTAAATGAAGGAAATTAAAAAAACATTGAAACTTAAATATAGCTTTCATAAAGGATTAAATTTCAAGGCATGTTTTTGAACAAAAAGGGTTATTGGCGTTTGGTTGGTTAAGGAAAAATGGTGAATGATTCGGGAGGAAAAAATAATAAAATTTGTACTATCAAAAATAAACTTTTTGTGTACTATAATGGTACAATAAAATAACTTTTCATCCGATTTTCATTTGAATAAAACGGATAAAAATGTTTTTTTTTTTTTTTTTTTTTTTTTAAGAATACTTAAGAAATGCAAGATTTATTATATTTATTGAGGTAAAAGGCCGGTTGCGAAAATGAACTTATTTTCACCCGCCTAAAAATATTTGTTCGTTTTTGAAAAAAAAAATATTGCATCATCGGATTCATTGAATGGTTTTAGTAGGAAGCAATTACAATTAACTTCGGAAATAAGCGACTCAATCGTTGAAGTTATAAATTTCGAACTTCTTACTCAGACTAGAGTAGATTAGTAGTATGATTAAACTTATCCATTCATGGTGTTCCAAATGATGAAAAGCATAGTCAACAAGTTGAAAATAGATTAATTTATTCCTACTCTTTATAAATCAAAAAAAGAGCAATGATGAATGTTAGTCCCTATTTTCCATTGGCCTTAAATTGAAGACGGTTCCATAGAGACAGAATGAAAAAGACCCTTCCAGCTGGAAGAGACCCCCTCCAGAGAGGACTGGAGAAGGTTACCTGGACCCTGCTTACGCACTAATTACCCAAGAGCCGACTAATCTGCCTTTATAGCTTCTCTGATTGCCTTGGCTTGTGCTCTTCTCTCTCGATTAGTTCCTCAGCCCACCCCCGGATCATTCCACAATTCCTAATCCTATTTACCCCACCCCATTGGTCAGGCAACATTGTCCAAATTAATTTTCTTGTTAATAGTAAAACAAATGAAAGTCAAATAACGTATAGTTGGAAGCTTTAATAATAATAACTATAAAGACTAACGATTTAATTAAGGAAGAATCAATTTTTTTTTATTATGTTGTTTTTTATTGATAGGAATTCAAAAATTTACAATGAAAACGTAATATGCGCATTAACACAATATGCATCCTGTTTACGTCTTCATTGTAGAGCGGTAATATAACTTATTTTTAGTTGAAATATTTTGGGTGTATACACAGCGATGGGTAGGTTTGGTTGATTCAAAGGATAACATCAATATCGATTGTAACTTTTGCTTTGTGGCCCTCGGTCAAGAAAATATTGATCCAGAGATGGGTTTCAATTGACAGAAAACTATAGCTAATATTAGGAGGAATCACAAGCTTCTTTTTATTTACATATTGGCATTATCGTTAAGGGATTTCTACATTGAAATAAAGGCCTTAAAGCTATTATAATTAGTTCATCATCGGGAAGTGTAAATTATTTATAGTAATTAATGTTCACGAAGGTCAAGATTCCAATTAAAATATCTTCGACTGAGCGTAATTACTTGTACTTTACGAGGACTGGTAGGAGAAGCGTAAGCGAGGAAGTTTGTCATGAGGCCGAAGGACGCCAAGCGGAGCTAATTGGAGTAGGGCGACCCTAAACCTTTGAACCGAGCGGCCCTTTGCAGCGACCAGTCCGGTCCGGTATTCATCTAATCACTTTTCATTCGCTTTTTGATGACAACTTCATCACCGTTCTCGTCTCTAAGGGATCCTTCTTCTCCTTTCATTGGCCCCTTGACCAATCTCTACGTCTTTATTTGCCTTACTGAAGGATAAAGAGCTCACGTTTCAAAGGAGTAATGGATGATGAAATACGTCTAATTACTAACCGGTGTTGCGTCTTACAGAAAGGGTATCTTGTTACTTTTAATGAGGAATTATATGATATCATAATCTAAAGCAAATGAATCTCAAATCAGAATGTTAAATACCACTAAAATATTTCTTATTTTTTAGGTTGCAGAGAGACAGCGTTCATATACGCAATCACGAGCGCCGCAGTTACTCACGCAGTCGCTCGTGCTTGTGCAGAAGGGACGATAAAATCTTGCACTTGCGACTACAGCCACAAATCCCGTGGTGCCCCAAGGGCTACCAACGGGGGCGGAGCTCTTGGAGTCCGTGATTGGGAATGGGGAGGCTGCTCAGACAACATAGGCTTCGGTTTCAAATTCTCCAGAGAGTTTGTCGACACCGGTGAGCGCGGACGATCACTCAGAGAGAAAATGAACCTTCATAATAACGAAGCTGGCAGGACGGTAAGTGTAAATCTCTGCGATAAAATTAATAATTAGATTCGAGTCTAGCAATTGACAGAATGATGAACTCCAATTTCATTTTTTTTTCAGTAATCAAATATAATATTTTGAAACAGTAAGAATTTTTCAACAACAAATAGTATTAAAAGTTATTCTCTGAAAAATAATGAAAGGTGTATACTTATTCAAAGGTCGCGTCATTTTGTCAATCGAAAGGATCATACTTGTTTATTATATAATTTACATTTACTAAAGATAAGACATCTTTCTTTTTTTGTTGAAAATGAACTACATTATAATTTAATAGATCATCGGTGTGATCATTTTCTAAGCACTATTGAATAATTTGCAGGAGCTTATTAAATACAATTTGCCTCAAATGTTATGATATTACTTTAGATGTTGAGAGTCTAACCTACAATTGAACAAAACGAACGGTGCGAATTCACCAGGGGTGCCTATTCCCCCTCCCCCTAGGTCTATGGCGCAAAAATCTACTTCACTGTAAACGGGATTTAATTTTCTTATATAAATTTTTCCCTTCTAAACGCTAATATATGTTCTTCGAACTAATGTTACGTGCGTAAAGGAGCTTTAATTGGATGGAAAGTTTACGCTAACAAATCCGTTTTAATTTATTCAGACTTTCACACATTCAAATGAAAATTTAATAGATTCTAAGTTGTGGAAAGGAGAATTATAAATTTAACTAAGTGGAAGTGTTGGCACATTCAAGTGATTTAATTGCCTCTTCCCATTGTCACCGAATAGCATTAGGGAAAGGATTCTACCAAGTTTTTACAAAATCATTGTTTGTTGGAGATCTTCCAGTTCGATAATCAATTATGTACGTAGTTGTTTACTAGTCAAATTTTACACATGCAGACGACGAAAAAAATGTTGGAATGTAGTTTGGAGGCGCGAGCCTAAGTGCCGATACTAGCACGTGGGAGCGATATATCTCTTGCCTAAAAGCAGATACAAGATAAATACCGTGCAGAGTCACTGGCTCCAAGCTAATGCTCATTACCAAGTGCCTCATCAGCGGTCATTAGTCCGCAGCTCGTGGGGCCCAAGGGCTACTGTCGAACAGCCAATCTCTCCGCTAGGATAGAAAAATAAATAGACATATATCAGGTGTCACGTTTGGAGGTGATGTGCCCACCATCTGGCGCAATCGCTGTTCATCGGTTTTCAGAGTGACGTAGTCAAGAAATCACTTCTACGAAAAGCAAACCGTACCTTCTTGCATAAGTTGCTTCACCAGTTGTTACAGGCATAAATAAATATACTGAATACTGATACGTATTGTATTGAATACAAATGATTAATTTAAAATAGGGCTTTCTATAAAACTACCTAATCAATAATTTTGGAAATATGGATGAAGTATAAAGACAAATATTAGTTTGAGGTTTTCAAGAAAAATAAAAAAAAATTAATGCTTTTAACTATTTTACGATTATATTTATAGTTATTTATATGGTACACACCCATAAGCCAGTACAAAAAAAAAGGTTAAAAATCGTACTCTCTTCCTGACGATTGAATGCACATCTACAGGCACACAATAAATCCTCGCCTAATCACGAACTGTTGCCCGACGACCGGACTTCTTTCGCCACTGCGAAGGTATCATTTCCAATTCGTATCGGATCATGGAGGAGTGAGATAGGCGTGAAAAAAAGTCCAATAAAACAATGTGAAGAAAGTTAAAGATGTGGAGCGGTCTTGAATCATTCATCCAGAAAAGAGGTGGGGTTCCTTGGGAAGGATGGGGAAAAAACCCTGTCCCATGTCAACACAACTGATCCACTTCTGTCTTCTTTTAAACGTTATAATATCTTTCAGGATACAAAAACAGGATGAGAGGAGGTGGGCACTTTATTTCTTCATTTTTTTTTCGCTAACTGGATATCTTTTACAGGGCCCAACGTGTCAAACGTTTGTTGAAAAAAAAAGGTTCATTGTAGCAATATATAATATTGCGGAACTTCAAAAATATCGATTTTTTAACGGTTACTTCAGAATGTAAATATAGAATATTGAGGATTATGCTATCAGTACTAAAGACCTATAAAAAATTCTAAAAAAATATTTGTTGACAATCAAGTTTAAATACATGTCTGTTTAACGTAAATAAAAATTAAATTGGACTAATCATTCGTTTTAAAACGATGCTTCAAAAATAGTAATTATAAACTAATAAAGTTTGTATTAACTAATAAGCTTCAATTAAAAGTAATTAAAATTAAATAATTTTGAAAATAACTAACTTTTTTAATACATTGAGTTTATAATACCTATCCAATTTTAATCTTAAATATTCTTTGTAAATTATATTGTTTATATCATGTCATTAATTTGTGTTATTTGATCATTATTGATATTAAAAACGTCAAATCATTTCTTCTTTCATTGAAGAGTACAATAATAAATGGTTGATACTTTTGAAAAATGTCAATTGCAGGATGACAAAAGTAAAAAAATACTTATAACCGATGCTTCAAAAATAGTAATTATAAATTAATAAAGTTTGTATTAACTAATAAGCTTCAATTAAAAGTAATTAAAATTAAATAATTTTGAAAATAACTAACTTTTTTAATACATTGAGTTTATAATACCTATCCAATTTTAATCTTAAATATTCTTTGTAAATTATATTGTTTATCTCATGTCATTTATTTGTGTTATTTGATCATCATTGATGTTAAAAACGTCAAATCATTTCTTCTTTCACGAAGAGTACGATAATAAATGGTTGATACTTTTGAAAAATGTCAATTGCAGGATGACAAAAGTAAAAAAATAATGTATATATATATATATTATATGGTACACATATATTTATATATAAATTTATAATGTCCTTGGGGCTGATGATAGAACTTCATAATAATTAACTTAAATTAAGAGACAGAGATAATCTAAAGAGAGAGACAGAGTGAAGGAGAGGTGAGTACGTCAGGCTATCAAGGCCCGGGCACGTGATGACGTAGTTTACGCAAGACGAACAAAGGTGGCCGCCAGAGCCTCCTACATAATTCAGAAGGATCTTACATCAATATATATAGCACCTTGTCATAAGCTACCTTTAACAGGTGCATCACCTTTCACGAAAATGTCAAGAGACCAACTGAATATAATGAAGCTGGAGTATTCCGAAACATTAGCACATCTCTTACAATTGAAGCTTTAGACAGCCGCATCTATCAATAGAGATCTGTATCCATGTCTGTTGTCACCCAAAAATAATATTTTTAACCGTTCCACCTCTGAAAGATAACACTATTGACTGATAAATGCAGCTAAATATGACCTGAAAGATAAGGAGCTGAACTACTATCACGAACGGAAACTTACTTCATATCCAAATTTACTTCATATTTGTCAACATTATTTATTATAAATGACCCACTATAGTTTTTGAAATGAAATATGTGATTAATTGTTTTACTGTAACATATTAGTGCTGTTACTACAGTTAAAAAATTAATCGATTTAAATTATAATTTCAATTTCAGAAATGGATGGCATTAGCTATATTGTACAAATAAAACAATAATCATAATTTATTTGTCTGATTACGAAAACCTCAGTTTAAAAAAATGTATTCAATAGGTAATTATGGATATCAAATGAATGTTTGGACAAATCTATAAAATAGGAATCAGTATATTAGTCCGATTAAAAAACAAACCAAAAATAAAAACTATTAAATGATCTAAAATCTTAAAACACTTGTATTCAAGTTAATTAGAATACTAAAAAAAAAAAAAAATCAGGTAACTAATACGACTTAAATATTAACATCACTAGCCGCTTCCCCCCAAAATAGAAATATGTTGTTTTTCATTGTCCATATTTGTTTCTGTGAATGATCAGATTTTAAACGATTTCAATATACTATATTTTTAAATTTTAATACATATTCAGCTACTAAATATAAGTACGTGTCTAAAAAAATAGTAACTCTACCAACATTATTGTTACCATAAATACAACAAATGTTTTAGTTTATTTTTTGTAAAGGCCTTCAAGGATTATTTAAACATCGTTTTTATAGGTAGTTTCTTTCTTTTTCTTTCAGTGCAATAACCGTGCTAAAAAAATTCTTCGAAATTAAATCTTGAATCTGCTTAGGGTTCAAATAAAAAAACTGGTAACTATGGTAAAATTATTTGTAAAGCTATAGGATAACAAAGAATATAAGATTTTGTAAACTTGACAAGCAATAAATCCAGGCAGTCTAGAAAAATTATCTGTGGCAAGATCACGATATTTACCTTTCCACTCAGCAATTTGCCGTGGGCTTGAGGACCAGAAACTAAGCTAACGTACAATAAATTATAATGTTTAACAGATTATTCAAGCGCTAGGTCAGGTAACAGGTGGGTCGCAATTGGTGATAACAGTGAATCACGAAACTTGAAAATAATGAATCAAAAGATAACTTTGCAAGGATTAACGAAATATACCGTGTCTAAATTTGTAAAGAATAATTAATTATAAGTTAATTATTAATTAATACGTAATTTCTGAACTCTCTTTAAGTAAGACGTAGTATAGATGAGATGAAATATACGATTGCTTACTTAAAATAATTGTTATATATCATTGAAATGTTATTAAGTAAGGATCCGGTTGGATCGAATGGGTCCAAGAAGGACGACCAAGGATAGGCCTAGTAATTATACAAGAGGAGTTGGCCGAGGACAGGAGAGAGGAGGCATGCAAATCCCCGGTGACAAGACAATAGTCTAATTGCCGCTACTTGCCTGCCCCACCGTTCACATCACTCAGCCCACCCGCCATTATGTAGATTTTATTAGGCCCAATCACCTGCCACTGTCTTTGTCTTGCCAGGGGTCACTTTCGTCACATACTATCTTACAGACCTCCCTATCCAAAGCTATGGGCTTTGCAGAGGGCACAGGTGATATAAAATTTAAAGTTAAAAACAAAGTCTCTAAAAAAAAATTCAAATAATCCTTGCTTTTGTACTGTTTAGAAATTGTGATGTTTCTAAAATATGATTTATTTAATACTAAAAACGATTGTTGGTAATGTTGAACAACAGACATTAGAGAATTTTTAGTAGAATTATATTATTATTAACTTTTTTATGATAGCAAACATATTGAGAGGGTTAAAAAGCACTTGAAAACTATATGAATAAATTTCCATTTTTAATATGCCTATGAAATCAAGTTTTCTATTCCAGTTGATATTAATTGGTGATTTTTTTTTTCATTACAGCACGTTGCAACGGAGATGAGGCAAGAATGCAAGTGCCATGGTATGTCTGGTTCGTGCACGGTGAAGACTTGCTGGATGAAGCTGCCGACATTCCGGGAGGTCGGGGACAACCTGAAGGACAGGTTCGACGGGGCGTCTAGGGTGATGGTGAGTAACGCAGGGAGCCTCCGACCGACCGGCAAGAAGTCGAGGTACAACTTCCAGCTGAAACCTTACAATCCTGAACACAAACCTCCAGGCACCAAAGACCTGGTGTACCTCGAGCCCTCGCCAGGGTTCTGCGAAAGAAATCCCCGCCTGGGTATCCAGGGTACGCACGGCCGGCAGTGCAACGACACCTCCATCGGCGTCGACGGCTGCGACCTCATGTGCTGCGGACGAGGACATCGCACCCAGGAGATCACGGTCGTCGAGAGGTGCGCTTGTACCTTCCACTGGTGCTGCGAAGTGAAGTGTAAATTGTGCAGGACAAAGAAAACGATACACACCTGTTTATAGACTGACCCCATCAATTCCCCAAACTCCACATTGTATCGTTTACGTGACTGATGTATATATTCCCGTGATGTGTGTGATTGTACAGGCTAGTGAGACATCTCAGAGTCAACAGTATTATTAAGGGTATTTTAATTAGTTTTAAGGCGATGAACTGTTTTTATTTGTGTAAATTATAAATGTAAATTTTATTTTAGTTTAAGGCGGAATATTAATGTATTATTTCTTTCTTTTTCCTATTAAAGCGACCTAATAAATTTTATTTACCAAACCGAGGCACGTAATGTAAATACTTAGCTTTATAGTTCCAGTGTAGCTTATTTATTTATTATTTCGAAAAAGAACATAACGTTGTAAATAAACCTATGTATATTATGTACTATTATTAAGTTTGGAGAGATTGTTGTAATATAAATGAACAGCTAAGACTAGTGTTTAAGCAAATACATAGATTATAATAGTCTATGATAAAACTTTTATGACTGATTAGATCTTTATAAATACCTATTCGTTCTTTATTATAAATTTCTTTCATGCGAAATAACATACGTAAAATTGAATTCGTCTTAAGTGATTACAATAAAGTGCTTAATTTCCAATGTCATTAATTAATTTCCTTTATTTCACATTATGTAGCTCAGATCCCATGAGCGTATGACTTCAGTAAACTTAATCTACTACACGTAAGTACAGTAACAACAGAGTTTTCAAAACTGTTCACCAGTCGAAGTTCCAGCTTAAGTTAGAGAAGTAGAAGTTAAATTAGTTTTAATGCTTTATATAAACAAGTGTAAGTGACAAAAAAAAAATCAGTTATTAAATCCTTACTTACTATCCTTACTATGATTTACGAATTACTGATCATTCTCGAACTTCAAGAAAAAAATCTTAAACTTAATTTATACTTAGCCCCATACCAGACTGAAACGACTAGAAACCGCCCGACGTTTTCGACTAGTGCAGCACTTACTAGACAAACGCTCTAAGCTCACAATCAATTACAAACGACTCATATATATGACAATAATAAGACATATTAGGACTTACGGAATTAAGCTTTGGGGCTCCACTAAACCATCGAATTCCTCTCGTATCCAATCCTTACAATCCAAAATCCTTCGTAAAATCCTCAACGCTCCTTACTTTGTCACAAATAAAATCATCCATAAAGATCTTAATGTACCATATGTTTCCGATTTGGCCCCATCCAGATATCTATCCTTCCATAACAAACTGCAGAACCATCCGAATCCTCTCGTTTCAAACCTTGCTTCCTCCTCAATCCCTGATAATCCTCCGAGGCGTCTGAAAAGAAGATGGCCTCGGGACCTTCTAACATAGAACTTTAATTTGAGTTCTACCAATGGGTAGTTTCTTTTCATGTTGTACATGTCATGTTACCAATGTCACATTTACTTATTGTATTTTCCATGTAATACAGTTGTAAATCTCAATAAAATAAAATTAAAAAAAAAATGTTTACTAATTTCCATGATTCATAGATTTACTATTAAATGAAATATGTTATTAAATATAAAATTTTAATTATTAATTTTTTAAAAATGAATCTCCGTCTTTAAATCCATTCATTATGTTTCTCATTAAATAATTACTTTTTATTTAGTAATTTCTGGTAATCGGTGACGAACATAACTAAATGTAAATAAAGAATTATGGTAAGTTATCAATCTTTATATTTAAATTGTAACACTTGATAGTGCTCGGGAATTCATCTACAAAATAATCTCGTTTGTTAGATTAACAATAAAAAGAATCTGGAGCGTCCACTCACACGACTTCCCCAGCGATTTTAAGCAAATTTATACAACTTCGTCCACTAAAAAAAAAAAAAATAAAAAATAAAATAAAATTGACTTATCGTTAGATTAAATTTCTTGGGAATCGATCAGATTAATAATTAGGGTACGATTTATTTTATGAACTAAAGTAATGTAAACGGGCATGTGAACGACCATTATAATCATCGAAAATAATTTAAAATACTGTAACTTTGCTAAAACTGGTCCGATATAAATGAAATTTTTTTTTAGTTTTGTCAGAAACTTAATAGCTTTTCAAAATAAAGGTAAATTAGTTTGGTTCAGTACTCAAAACCATAAAAAACAAAAAAAGAAGTAAAAAAATAGGTCACTCGTTTTCGAGAAAATCTTAGCTTGGACAGACCACTGGCTGAAAATGTGTTTTTCGAACTCTGAAACGTAAAGATCAGTTTAAAATAGTGCATTGGAAATTTGACCCAATCATAATACTTAGCGGTAGGAAAGTAAGAAAAAAATAGAGGTGAATACATTTAATCTTTGAGAAAAATAATATTTATATGTCTTTTTCTGGATATCCTACCAATATAAAATTCATATTGCAGTGGAGACTAAGAAATTTGAAAGAAATAACGCTTTAATATTAATTTTGTTTGTGTATATCTTTGATTGATTTTATAAAATGATTGACAGTAGTAATGACATTATAAGAGATACACTCAATCTTCCTAAAGAGTTATTAATTTCCACTAAAATTATATGAAATTAAAAAATGAATCAATTTTTTTTAAAGAAAGGTGAAATCCGTTATATTGTTTCCAAAAGTGATCAATGATATTTAGCATAACTATAATACAATACCGGAAAAATACAGAATCTGGATGTGTTTTTACAACTGATTCTAAATTCTTAAACTTAAGAGATATGTTCACGAAACTAATTTTTAATGATTCTCAACTCTAAGGCAAATTAGTAAGCAATAAAAATCATAATTTGAAAGTTACAAGAGAACATTCTACAAGAAAAATGTACATACAGCTTATGATGTAAGGCTCAGTACTTTTTAAGAGAATACTGTCTTTATCAACGGTTTTATTTAAACTATCGTTTAAAGGTACAAAATTTGTTTCTGACATATATAAAATCGGTAATACATTTTGTCAAATAATAAGTAATAGTGGTGTTAGTTTCGTAAAAAAAATGGTCAATTATTATTATGGTCAAGCCGAACAAAGCATAAATTAGTTTATTTTCTCATAAATGACCAATGGTGAGTACTAGTGTTGCCCAAAATCAAGACCAAACTGTTTACAATTAACTGTTGCCAGAGCAAGACCAAGGCTGGTAAGAAAAATTGATTTTTTCGATTAAAAATTATGGCGAAATTGTTACTAATAATTGACAATTTTAGTTAACATATGTAAAGAATTGGTATAACCAACATACTTTTGCATTTAACTCTCCTAATTTTTCATTCGGGCTTAGCTAGGTTTCTTCCATCTAAAAAATTACAGTAATATCTCTATAGTAATAAGCTAATAGGTAACTGCAAGACTGTTGCGAGAACAAGACCAATCCCAAGAGTAAATGCGCAAGACCAAGACTAGTCTTGGTCTTGCATTTGGGCAACACTAGTGAGTACGGCGTTAATACTATTCAACTATCCAAAATAATAAAAAAATCTTTTCCAATTTGAATATTATTAGTATAATTGTTTTGATTTTATAAATGAAATTATTTTCATTGTTCTAACGTGGTAAAGTAATTAATTTCTAATTGGGATAAAACAAATTACTACGGTGTTATAAAATAAATATTAATTTATTAACAAAATTATAATAAATTAATCAAAAGCTTTTGCTAATATATAATTATCTAACTATTAAGACACGATAATAATAGGATCCTGGAGTTGTATTTAGGAAATACTAATCAATAAAAATTTTTAGAATTAATTTGCTTAAGAATTTTTAATACTTTGATCTCAATATACCTTTCTATATGAGAATGCTCACGAGCGGATCTTATTAAGGTCGTTTAATTTGATTAATTTCACACGCGTAGATGTCATTTGTATACATCTTCTTGAAAGAAATATCGGTATAATAATGACACTTTTCAATTTCATGGTTTATTTTTTTAGAGAAATTTTATATTAATTACTAACAATTTCCCCCTCTTTCCAATTCAATAAACAGACAATTTCGGTGCTGCTGTACAGATTGCAAGATCAGGTTCGATTAGATAGTGTGCCGAAGAGGCCAGGACTAGAGAAATTAATAAAGAAGAAGTAATAAACCTAAGTTGCTGGAAAGGCTCTAAAATAAAAAGAAGGCCAGGCAGAATTGAAATAAAAAAAAAGTGCCATCAAAAAGCTTATTAGAGGAGGGTAGGTGGTACTAAAGGGTGAGACACTGACATTTCCCAGCCGTGGGATAGCGGTTAGCCGCCCTGACAAATCGGGCAATTAGCCCAGTCCGGCCTATGTATTAATAACTCCTGGTCCATCCTGGTTCCCTGTCCTCTCCCATATCCACCTTCGTCATCGTCACATCCATCGCTTAATGCTACTCTCCATCTTTCCGTAATATCTCTCAAGCTAAAGGTTTCTATTCCAATTCCATCCAACCATTTCCAAAGGCTGGACCGTACTTCAGGTTTGAATAAAGATGATCCACGTTTATATCATTATATATTCGTATATGTAAGGTAAGTTTCTAGTTCTTCGTTAAGTTGGCGAGAAAACCTGGCGTTTGAGGGAGGATGTTTACCACTTCCTTGCATAACTAGTGCTTCAGAAATAATTCCGTTCGAGATCATTGTTCTAAAAAAAAAAAAAAATAGCTGAGTGTTTCTGAAGAATAAATTAATCATATAAAACCACAACTGAGATTTTACGTTGTTTTTGTTGAGATTTTGCTAATGATCCAAGCTTTGAAAACATGAAATTATTAGGTGTATTAGGTCGATACCTCTTTAATTAAGAAAATGTCACATTTTTTCTATTAGAATTCGTTAACAATCCACACCTGTGTCATTAATATTTCTTTTGAGAGCTTCAGATTCATTGTCTCATATATAATTTGAGTTAGTTAAAATAATGTTAGTTTATATAAGTATGGCTGTGTCAATAATAATAAGTCAATAATTTATATAATAAATTAATGAATAAATTAAATGTAATTTGAAAATGTTTATTTAATTTTTTAAAGTACATTTTATTTATTTAATAAAATTTACTAAATAAATTAATGAGTAAATAAAATGTACTTTAAAAAATAAAATAAACATCTTAGACACAGCCATAATTATACAAACTAACATTATTTTAACTAACTCGAATTATATATGAGACAATGAATCTGAAGTTCTCAAAAGAAATATTAATTTAAAAGAAAGAAAAAAAAATCAAAATAAGATAGCATAAGGAGTGTATATATATATATATATATATATATATATATATATATATATATGAAGTAATATATATTCAATATATATTATATATTGATATTATATATTGAATATATTACATATATATATATATATATATATATATATATATATATATATATATATATATATATATATATATATATGAAGTAATATATATTCAATATATATTATATATTGATATTATATATTGAATATATTACATATATATATATATATATATATATATATATATATATATATATATATATAAAATAGATGTGTCTCATTTTCATATTTTTTCTAAATATAATTAAATATGTTATGAAAAGTTTATATTACAGACATTAGAGATAGAATAATTTACATGATTTACAGCCCGGAGATGAAACTTGAGATAATTTGTTTATTTATAACTATTGATTTAAACAAACCCGGTTCTATATTGATACATTTTTTAAGTAGATAAGTTTGTTCAATAACCAAGAAAATGAAAATTTTTATAAAGAATCCTAAGGGAACACTGGATCTTTGTATGCAAATTTGAATTTAAATCCTCTTTTCACTGAGAAGGCTCTTTTAGAAGTCAAATGTGACGGTGTGATTCTTCCCGATACCTGTGTTGAACGCCTGGAGTCGATGCTGATTCACGTCGAAACCAATATGGAAGTTCACAATGAACCTTCTAGATGATAGAACAGAGTGTTTTATCTTAAAATTTCAAATTAAGTACTGTTTTTCTGATCTGTAAATTGTTAATTTTTTGCCTCAAAATAATTACATTAATAGTGATATTGAATAATGATCTATCTTTGTAAAACAGTTACGATATACATACAAGTGTGTCTTTGCATATAGACTGCTT